CAGGGCTTTATCCCATGATACTCTAAGAAGCATTTCTCTGAACAGGTCAAGTCAGCTCTCCTGAAGTCTGTGTCAGTGAACTCACTGTGCCCCTTCCTCACTGCCCCAAACATCTTGAACTCCACCACTTCATGGTCACTGCAGCTCTTGAGCTTCACAYTCCCCACCAGCTGCCTCCTTCCAGGTGAGAACAAGGTCCATCATAGCACCTCTCGTCACTATCTCCTCTATGACTTGGAGAAGAAAGTATTCATTAAGGTGTTCCAGGAACCTCCTGGATTGCCCATGCCCAGCTGTGCTGTTCCTCCAACACACGCTGAGGTTATCGAAGTTCCCTGAGAGAACCAGGGCTTGTGAACATGAGGCTGCTCCTCTCTGTCTGTGGAAGGCCTCATCTGCTTGGTCTTCCTGGTCAGGCAGCCTGTAGCAGACCCCCAGTGTCACTGTCCCTGCCCTTCCTTTAAGCCTGACCTACCAGCCTTTGGTTGGCTCCTCATCCATCTCCAGGTGGAGTTCCATGCATTCCAACAGGACAAGACACTCATTTGCACAGAAGCACTTAAGTTGCCTTCCCTACTAACAACAACTGACTTACAGGACAGAGGGGCTGGAATCCTTTCAGGTGTTTTCTTGCTTGGGATCTGTGATCCCTCTCCAGGCCCTGAGCATCTCTGACTGGCCCTGTGTCGTGGTTTAGAATGCTGGCCAAAAGCCAGGCACCCACAACACCTGTTCATTCACTCTCCCCCACCACCACATTGGGTAGAGAAGAGCGAAGAAAAAAAAATTAACTAAAGGGTTCATGAGTTGAGATAAGGAGCAGGGAGGAAAYGCTTGATAGACAAAACAGGCACTACTTAAATGATGAAGTGAATTTATTACTAACAAAGTCAGAGGGGGAGAATGAGAAATAAAATAYAACCCTCAAAGACACCGACCTTCCCCCCACTCCCTCCCCCCTTCCCACCAACAGTGCAAAGCAGCGGGGGGTGAACAGGGTGTGGGGATGGTCAGTTCAGGGTGTGGGGATGGTCAGTTCAGGGTGTGGGGTTGGTCAGTTCAGGGTATGGGGTTGGTCAGTTCAGGGTATGGGGTTGGTCAGTTCATCACCGGATTGATCTGCGGCTGCTGAGGGAGAAGAGTCCTTCCCCTGCGTTGCCRTGAGGTCCCTCCCACGGGAGACAGTTCTCTGTGAACCTCTCCAACGTGATTCCGCTCTCACGAGCAGCAGTCCACACACATCTGCAGCATTGTGAGTGCCCCCACGGGCAGACAGTCGTCCCAAAACTGTGCACCGTGGGGTCCCCGTCTACTGGGTGCAAGACTAAGGCCAGGCTGTTCCATCTCGGGAACAAGGCCTCTCTCTCCATGGCTCTCCTGCTGGACACAGCCCCCTTATCAGCATCCACCCGCTCCAGCGTGGGGACCTCCCTCCTCCACGGGCTGCGGGTGGATCTCTGCACCGTCCATGGACCCCATGGGCTGCAGGGGGACAGCCTGCTCCACCATGGTCACCATGGGCTGCAGGGGGACAGCCTGCTCCACCATGGTCACTATGGGCTGCAGGGGGACAGCCTGCTCCACCATGGTCGTCACCACGGTCTGCAAAGGAATCCCAGCTCCAGCACCTGGAGCAGCTCCTCCTCCTCCTGTAGTGACCTTGGTGTCTGCATTCCCTCACATATTTCTCAGCCTCCTCCACTGGCAAAACTACTGTGTCCTCCCTTTATTTTGATTTCTTCCTAAATATATTTTCGCAGAGGCGTAACCACCATSTCCAAYTGGCCCAGGTTTGGTCAGTGGCATGTCCATCATCCTCAGAGCCAACAGCAATTGGCTCTGCTGGACATGGTGGAAGCCACCAGCAGCTTCTCACAGGAGCCATCTTTTTGTCCCCCCCCATTTCCAAAAACTGGGCCAAGCAAAACCAACACACCCTGGCATCAAAATAGTAAAAGTCAGATGGAGTGAGGTTCCCCTACCCTCAGTAGCCACAGTAGCTCTGATTGTCCATACCCCATGACTGCAGCAGTCCTTACTGCTCTTCAGAGATGGAGCCTAGCCCTTCAACATTTTGTCCAGTGGGAGAAATGGAAGGAGAAATTATGAATAATCAAACTTTGAAGTAYGGTCTCGAAGAGATTAGAAAAAATCTCCAAGCATGGGAAAGCTTAGCAATGACACAAGCTTCTTGTCTCCTGCAAAGATCTATTGAAATGTGTTGGCTAAGTTTTTGTGTACTGTTACAGTTTTAACAATTGGGGGGGAGGGGGCAGGTTGAGAATTGGATTATATTCTTGGCAAAAGAGAGTAAAATAGTGGTGCTAGCACATACATCCTGACTATAAGGCATAGTGTATGTCTCAGTGACAGAACAGAGAAGCACACATACACTTGGTAGAATATTCCCACGATGTGCCTGATTCTCAATAGCAGCCAATGCACCTTAAATACTTCCTTGAAATAYTGGCCAGGACCAGACATCAGGCATGAACGTTTTCAGACTGAGCAGATTAAATCTGTAAGAATTAGGAGCTAAAAGCTACAAAACGGAGGGCACAATCTGAGTGGCCCTCCCTGAATCTGCCTGTTCCAGTTGTGACCCACTCCTGTAGGAACATGMGGTACTTCTCACGAAAGCACCACGAAACATGCGACTTCTTCTTTCSTAGAAAAGCCTGACCCAAGCTGGAGCTTGCAGCGGTGCTCACAATCGTGCCTAATGGTGTTAGCGGGCAACGAGATTCCCACAGAAGGGTGGACAGGGCTTTGCTGAACAATGCGAATGCCGGGGTCGTTCGGTACCGGAGGTCTCCCCAAGCCCGGCACTCCCTCTCCTCCAGAACCCGGCGCCGCGAGGCTAGGGCAGGACGGCGGAGTCCCCGGGCAGCCCTCCCTCCCTCCCTCCCTTCCTTCCTCTCGCTTCCTCCTCCAGCCTCCTCGCTTCCCACGGCGGAGGCTGCCACACACCGACAGCCGACGGGGCGGCGGCGGCAGCAGCGGTGACATCGGTGCGCGGCGCCTCCGAGCGGCCGCAGGGCAGCTCCCGACCGGCCCCGCCGAGCCGGGGGCGGGCAGCGGGACTGCCCCTGCTCGTCCGAGAGCGGACGGGCAGCGGCCGCGCCTCGCCTCGGCTCGGCTCTCGAAGGCCGGGGCGGTGCGGGCCGGCGGAGGCGGAGCCGCGCCCGTGACGCGGCGCTCCGGCGGCGCTGGCGCTGGCGGGCGGGTGAGGGCTCTCTCGGCGCGGAGCTTGTGCGCTGCGGCTCCGGCCGGGAGAGGAGGTGCCAGACTCCGGCGCCGCGTGCGGGCAACGAGGGGGATAGGAGGCTGCTGAGGCGGCCGGAGGAGGAGGAGGAGAAAGGGAGCAGGGAGCAGGGAGCAGCGAGCAGTGAGCAGCGCCGCTTCGTCGGCCCGACGGTGCTGCTGCTGCCACTTCCCCGCTGGGTGCTCGCCTGCYCGCGAGCTCGATCCGCTCCCGGAAACTCTCGGCTCGCGCCTCAGTCGCGCCGGCGGGGTCTCGACACGGCTCTCGGCCCCGGCGCGGCGGGCGGGGGAGGGGGGTTGCGGGGGGCAACTTCTCCACTTCTCCGGAGAAGGATTTGGGCCGCCCCGCTCGGGGGGCGGTGGCGCCTGCGGTGCCCGCGGCAGCGGGAGAACTTTCGCCTCCGATCGCGGGGCGGCGAGAGGGGCCCGGGTGCGCCGGCCKCGGCGGGAGCAGCTTGGCGGCGGCGCCGGCCCGGCAGCCTCGGAGATGAAGCTGAGCCGGCAGTTCACGGTGTTCGGCAGCGCGGTCTTCTGCGTGGTGATCTTCTCCCTGTATCTGATGCTGGACCGCGGCCACTTTGACCACCCAAAGAGCCCCCGGCGGGAGGGCACCTTTCCCAAGGTGAGCGGGGCGGCGGCCGGAGGTGGAGGCGAGGGTGGCGGTGGAGGCGAGGGACCACCGGCCCCTTGCCGTGCCGCTGCCGGGGGTGCCGGAG